CTGGGTATTTTCTGAGAATACAGATAATTGATTATCAGTTTGGAGATAATCGATTGTTGGAGGTTGCTGGTTTGTGATGAGGAATCAGAGGGATAGAATAGTCGACTATCAGTTATGTATAATCGATTATTCATGCTTTCAGGATCAAGATTAGGAAAGAAAGAGGAGAATATTTTGTGGTTTTGTTGTATAAGGATTTGAAAAGGCAAAAACAAGAAACAAAGGTTTTATTTTGTCTTCTTTGGTCTCATTTTTCGTCCAAGGTTAAAAAGGAGGATAAAGACTTTATTTTGATTATCAAATGAAGATAAAAGACTTTTGGATATTTTGGGAGAGGTTAGGATTTTAGTGGAGCCGCCCAGGGGTACATCACACTCCCCTTCTTCGAAGAAAGTTTGTCCTCAAACTTTCGCACCACCGTGTCTGATTGGTATTTCATAAAAGAATTCCCTGATCAAATGGGAAATTCAATGAACCACCAATAATGAGGTTCCTTCCAGAATTAGTGGGCACCTCGTTGTGTAATTTCCGGAACATGATGCCATTCCCTGTAAAAACCTGCTTCAAACATTCCTCAAAGAGGAGAGAAGATTTTCCTTCATTGAAAAGAGGATAATACTCTATGGAAATCACTTCCATAGAATATATAACTTCTGGTGTGGCTTTCTCTATAACTACCTCATCAACGAAGTCATCATGAATAAGGAAAGAATCATTATATTGTGATTCTTCCTGAGCATTAGAAGCCGGTTCTTCTACGAAGACGTCATCTTCATCTTTGGCAGAAATAACAAAGACGTCTTCCTCATTGACAAATTGGTCACATGAGCTTTTCTTTTCCTCTTCATGAATCATGACCCACTCTTCATATGGTATGGCATACTTATTTGAACATTCCCAATGGCCATGACCACAGCCACCGCACATGAAACATCGCCGAGTAGCCCATTGCAATATTGCTCCATTTGCAAGGATAATTTCCAGATTTCTGAGGTGTCTTTTAGAGACCATATCTCACAAACCAAAGATTGGAATTAGGTAATTCTAACTCTCAAAGCAAGATATTGACGTCCATAAAGACATATCAAAAATTTGGAGCCATTAAAGAACGTTTGCTACCTCTTTGGAGACAAAAGAAGCAAGCTAGACAGAATTCGGGCCGGACTGCATTGTCAACTTTGGAAGGGTGTATCTCACTAACC